AACTGGGAGATGGTGCCAACCAGCTGTGTCTGGGCTGAGTTTCTTAAGCATTTTACAAGTGCTAAAGCTGTCTGGGATTGAAATTCTATTAACTTGATGTTATTTGATGTCTCATTAAAGAACGGAGGTTTCTGCTTATTGAAGCAAACGCAAACACACCCCATACAGGTTTTGCCACGTTCAGGAGAGGTTTGCATTCCTCCTCCCTGATTGCTGCCTCAGTTTGGTGGCATCAGGTGGGACCTACATGTGGAGGAGGCGGGAGAAGGGCTGAGCTGTAGCAGGATGCAGGGTACATCCCCAAAGCCGGATTCATCACAGAGCCCAGATGAAAAATGAGCTGAAACTGCCCCGACCTCATGCTGGAAGCGTCTCTGCCGTGTTTCCACATCGTGCCTATTACATCAAATTACACGTGCAGAAAAAAACAGAGGTGCCACTTAAAATAAATGGGGAAAAAAAGACCTCTCTGGCTGCAGACAGATGTTGGCGGTTATTGGGAGGCTCAGTGCCAGGAGCAGTGTGTGAAGGGCAGCAGCATGGCCAGGGAAAAGGGCTGTGACAAGGACAGGGCTGTGCTGAACGGCCCCCACCACCCTGACCCACTTCCCCCCTGTTTGCCAAAAGCAGCCCTTCCTTTCCTTGTGTTTCAGGCAAGCAAGATCCATCCTGAGCTTAAGGAGGCAAGTCAATTTGTTCCTTCTCTTTTCGGCGCCCTCCAGTTTGTAACAGATCGTGGTAATTCCTAATAGCTGGGATGAAGAGAACTTAAAAAGCATTTCATTAATTAATGAAGTATTAATGATTGTGAAAGTGCGAGGACGTGAGTTTGTCAACCCCAATTAGAGGCTGAAGCTGAATCTTTATCAGCATGAGACGGCTCAGTGCCGGGGAGGGATGTGTGCCCTTGGGAAGCTGCCACGGCAGCAGAGCAAAGCTAGAGCTCAGCACTGCTTTCCTGTGGGAACCCAGGGCAGGAACTGCCTTTGCTCCTGCTTTTCTTATTGCTTTTATGCTTCTTTTCCCTTTCTGGCTTCAAAGAAAAGCAGCTTTGGTGATAGCGGAGCAGATGAGAGGGGAGCATCTCAGCATCCTTGGACAGGCTCCACTGGTCCAGGGCCTGAACCTTCCTGCCAACCCCAAATCAGCATCATCTAGAAGAAGGGAAAACATTTCTCTCAAGAGGAGGAGATGTCTGTGTGGCTGCAACGGAGAGGAATCAAATCCAAGTAGTGTCTGTCCCATTCATGTTGTTTATATGGCAATGGAGTAATGGTTTAAACTTAAACAGGGCGATTTCAGGTTCGATACAAGGAAGAAGCTCTTCCCTGTGAGGGTGCTGAGGCGCTGGCACAGGGTGCCCAGAGAAGCTGTGGCTGCCCCATCCCTGGCAGTGTTCAAGGCCAGGTTGGACACAGGGGCTTGGAGCAAGCTGCTCCAGTGGAAGGGGTCCCTGCCCATGGCAGGGGGTTGGAATTAGATGATCATAAGGTTGTTTCCAACCCAAACCATTCCATGATTCTATGATCATGTGTGTTCCTGTTGCTGGATTGGCTCCCCAGTGTGCTCTTCTGTCGGCCCCGTTAGCATCACGGGCAGGAAATTCAGGTGCCAGATGGATAAAATGAGTCTCTCAGGTAGCTCTCTGTGGCCACGTGCTTTGGATGTCAGTGCTTTGCTTGAGATTGCAGCCCCATTTTGCTGAGGAGGGGGTTAAGGAGGGATGCTACTGTGGATGGAGCATTAACCCCAGGGCTTGCAGGGCACTAGGACTCCTGTGCCAAAGCAGGAAAGGAAACGGCAGTAAGGATGGGGCTGCTCTGCAGGGGAGAAGCCTGTGATCCTGCTCCATTGCTCTTCAGGACAGGAAGCTCTGCAGAAGAGTTTGACCCCTTGGTTTGAGTCTTTCAGTGCAAGGTGCAGTATTTGACAGGTCAAACCATGCCCATCTCTGCATCTCGATAATGGCTTCTTTGAAGGATGATGCTGAGCATTTCAGAGGATGCAGCACAGCAGTCCTGGCACTCACCTTGTACCTGCGAGCGATGCTGCTGTGGCTCCGAGCACAGACAGTTACCGAACAGCTGCCTTCAGAGTTAATTGGAAATAAAAGGTCAGGACAAGAGTTGTCTGCATCAGAGACTTGGTACGTTGGGGCCTGCTCACCAAAACCACCTGGGAAATGCAACGGGAGCTTTCCTGGGACCAAATTATATTAGGATGCTGAGGCAGTCTGGGGAATGTGCCCCCCCTATTCACTGCAGAACCCTGTCCCTAATGATGTGCTTCTCTCTGTGAGAGTTTGCTTCTGATTGCAAATTACAGAGCAGGAGGGAAGCGATGAGCCTTTCAAGCTGTCATTACCATGGAGGGTCCGGGTAATAACCCTTGATGAGCCCCTTGGAGAGAGATGAGTTCACTGACTTGCTCAAGGGAGGGAGGGTCCAACCCTGCCACCCCAGGGACCATTGCCTCTAAGCTCTTGCCCATAAGGAAGAAGCACGGATTTCCCTGTCACGCTTCAAATGAAGCTTTGCTGCTTCACCAAGCCAGTGATGGAGGGGGAAGCACATGGATTCCCAGTGCTGGTCCCCCGGCTGTGGGAGATGCTTTGGTTACTGCTTGGAGGCATGGCCAGAGGCAAGAAATCCTGCCTTGTGATACAGGGATGGAAGAGGTAGGGATTAATGTAGAACAAGGCAGCAGCGAGGTGCCTCTGTCACACCCGATGGGGATCTGCTGCATGGCCAGGAGTTTCACTGGGGAAATTTCCTTCTGAAAGGAGAAATTGGATCTTCCCTGGAGTCCCTTTTCCATCCCAGATTCTATCCCAGATGTGACGAGCTTTTCTCCAAAACAGGGAAAGCTTTTATACTGCAGAGCAAAACAAGACCCGAACTTCACCAGTGTTAAATGTGCCAAGAAGCTTTTTCTGCTCATCGGTATCAGTGATGCAGAAAGCAGAGGGAGAGCAGAAGTCTTGGCCTGTGGCAGGGGGGATGTGCTGCACCTATTCCTGCATGTTCAAGGAGCCAGAGAAGTGAATTACACTTGTACACTTGTGTGTGTGCAGGTGTGTGCATAGGGCTGTGTGTGTGGCAAGGCAGCCTGTTCAAGTTTAAACCCATCACCCATTGTCCTGTTGCTGCAGTCCCTGATGAAGGGTCCCTTAGCATCCTTGTAGCTCCCTTCAGACACTGGAAACTGCTCTGAGGTCTCCATGCTTTTGCAGAGATGCAAACCAGCTTTGCTTTGTGCTATGGCATAGTCGGTGCTTGTGGTCCTGGCTACAAACCAGGCCGTAACTCTGTTAATAAGTTGCATTGATTAGAGTTTTAATTAATCATTCAGCCCATGCACCTCGTGTGGACACAGTGCCAGCTCACAAGCACCGTGGCTCCAACCCAATGCTGGCTGAGCAAAGGAGTGGGTAAGATAAAATATCTGATCGTGAATCCATCGTTTTCGGATCCCATCATCTTCATTCAGGCCAAAATCTAAAGGGCTTAAAAGATTTGTGTGTAGCTGTGCTTGAAAGAAAGCTGATACCATCAGAGACCACAATTATTTATTCTCCTTTATCATACAACAAGCAACATATGGGCTCCTTTCTCCACCGTGGATGACTAAGTGATGGCATCTGGTACTCTATTATATTGCAAGTGTAAAGCAAATGAGAAAAGATCCCCTTCAAACAGCACTTTGCTATTGTCAGGAAGGCACTCTTGAGATTTTCATTCCAAGGTGCTGCTTTGCTGGCTCTCAAACCCATCCCATTCAGAGCCTGTTTCTGGATGCTGAGATCGCTGGCAACCGGCTTTTTCTCCCTTGATGCTTTGTCTGGTCCCCACAGATGGGATCCCTCCATCACCTGCTGCGTCTTCACACCCCACGTAGGTACATCTGCTCTTCAGGTTGGAGCTGCTGAGCACAGAGATTGGTGCATATCACCCTGAGCAGCTGAACAGCTCCGGCCACTGCTGGTTTTCAAAGCAGCTTGAGCAGCAGTGTGGGTTGAAGCAGATTTGGGGAGTGCCAATGCTCATGTCCCTCAGGGAGCAGTCTGGGCACCCTTAGGTGATGCTGGCTCCTGCGTGTACAGCATCCTAGTGCTTTGCCATGCAGAAAAGTTCTTCTTAGAGAAGGGATTACTTGTCCAGCCCCACAGGGCAGGGTCATGCTCTGAAGCCTGGGATCTTCCCCAAACTCTCCTTTAGCTTCCAGGTTTCATGCCCCTCTAAGGCAGACTGCTCCCATACCCAACTGTTATCACCACAAGCCGTGTTCATTCCAACAGCTCATCTTTCTCTTCTTGGCTGCAGTTTGGGTTTTTAGTGACTGAATGGTTCATAAGAGAAAGCCTCACACTAGACCATGTTGCCCAAGGCTCTGTCCACCCTGGCCTTGAACACAGCCAGAAATGGAGCATTTACCACTTATTTGGGCACTCTGTGCCAGTGCCTCAGCACCCTCACAGGGAAGAACTTCCTTATCTCCAAACTGGACTTCCCCTGTTTCAGTTTGAACCCATCACCCCTTGTCCTATAGCTACAGTCCCCAGTGAAGAGTCCCTCTCCAGCATCCTTGTAGCCCCTTTCAGACACTGGAAGCTGCTCTGAGGTCTCCACGCAGCTTCTCTTCTCCAGGCTGAACAGCCCTGATGTTCTCAGCCTGGCTCCATACAGAAGATGCCCCAGCCCCTGAGCATCCTTGTAGCCTCCTCTGGACTTGCTCCAACAGCTCCATGTCCTCCTCATGCTGAGGACACCAGAGCTGCACACAGGGCTGCAAGCGGGGTCTCACGAGAGCAGAGGGGCAGCATCACCTCCTCTCTGCTGCTCAGGCTCCTTTTGATGCAGCCCAGGATACGGTTGGTTTCTGGGCATCATTCAGTTTGTGCTTCAGGAGCCTCTCTGTGGCAAGAGGAGGGAGATGCTGTGCCCCATCCTCACTGCCAGTCCCCCGTGTCCCCTGACACCCCGCTCCTCCCTCTCTTGCAGCTGACGTACCTGCCTCCGCCGTGGGGTGAATGCCGCTCGTCGGATATGGGCTTAGACTTCTTTCCCGTTTACAGCATCACGGCCTGCAGGATCGACTGCGAGACCCGCTACATTGTGGAAAACTGCAACTGCAGGATGGTTCACATGCCAGGTCAGTGTGCGGGGGCAAGGGATGGAGGAGCAGGGACCTCTCCCTTCACCCAGCCCATGTCATTCAGTGTTAACAAGCTGGAAGGGGACCGTGGGGTAAAGGATGCTTCCCTATGGAAAGAAAGATGCTAATAGCCATTGCAGAATGCCTTGAAATAGGGGCAAGATGTGGCAGAGAGTCATTTGATTTGCCCTGTTCAGCCCCACTTAACACCCATGGGTGTGATTTCCAGCAGCCCCCTCCTCTGCAAGAAAAGGTCCCTGCAGCAGGCAGATAGAATCATAGACTGGTTTGGGTTGGAAAGGACCTTAAGATCATCCAGCTCCAGCCCCTGCCACGGGCAGGGACCCCTTCCACTGGAGCAGCTTGCTCCAAGCCCCTGTGTCCAACCTGGCCTTGAACACTGCCAGGGATGGGGCAGCCACAGCTTCTCTGGGCACCCTGTGCCAGCGCCTCAGCACCCTCACAGGGAAGAGCTTCTTCCTTAGCTCCAACCTGAACTTCCTCTCTTTAAGTTACCTCTGCCGCCCATCCCCAACCTGGGTTCCCTTTGCTAAAGGGAGGTCCCTGTGGTCCCCAAGGAGAGCCCAGTGGTCCCCAGCAGCGGTGGCTGATGCCCACTGATGGATGTGTCCTTCCCATGCAGGGGATGCTCCCTTCTGTACCCCGGAGCAGTACAAGGAATGCGCAGAGCCTGCGCTTGGTGAGTACCAAGAGATCTCCCTGGGTACCACTGTGTCCCAACCGGGGGGGACTTCTAGCAGCCCGTGTCCTCCTGGGTGGCAGGACTGGGGTGATCTAGAGCAGCTGATGGGTTTGCGTGAGACCCATCTCTTTGGGAAGGGCTGGGTGCACCTTGGGATAAAGTTTCTTCTGGTTGTACATGGGGCATGGGCCCCATCAGTGCAGAAACCCTTGGGATAATGGGCACCCCAGGATATGTTGGAGGGGAGCATCTCCAGGTCTGAATTTGGATCTGGGTCTGGGATGGAGGGACCCATTCCAGGTCTGGATTGAGGAGACTCAGTCACCACGTGTTGCCAGAGCTGGTAACAGAGTGTAGCCTCCAGCAAAAGGCATCTCTCAGACAGTGGGGATGGCCATGCAATGAAGTGGGAGAGAACTGGCCAGGGATGGGTTTTCTGTAGCTCCTTGGGCCCTCTCTGGGTGCACAACCTCTGCTCCCACAGCTGCTGTATGTCCCTGAATCCACGAGATGTAACTCTGTGATCTCCTCCAGGTTTGCTTGCTGAAAAGGACAGCAATTACTGCATCTGCAGGACACCCTGTAACCTGACCAGATACAACAAAGAGCTCTCCATGGTCAAGATCCCCAGCAAGACCTCGGCCAAGTACCTGGAGAAGAAGTTCAACAAGTCAGAAAAATACATCTCGTGAGTGCTTGAGAGCACAGATCTCCTTTGCTTGATGGGGGACGGTGTCTGTAAAGGCCCTTTGGCTGTTTAAACCAACCGTTGGTGTGCTAAGTTATGTCCTCCAGGGAGTGTTAGGGCAAAACCCTTGAAGAGATGATGTGTAAGTTGCTTTCTTCTCAGTTGATGTGTTTCCTGATAACTGGATGCTCCTTCCCTGGTCTTGTCTTCGCGAGCTGTTTTGGCCCTTTCCCAGCCCTGGCCACAGTATTGTGGAGGCAGCAAGAGTTATTCCATGTGGAGCATCCTTTAGACTCTTGCTGTTACCAAATTGAGATCCAGAGCTCAGATCCTGAGGAATCATTTTCCATCTTCTGCTAAGTCTGCCAGATTCCTAATGGTGCTGGATGGTCTTGGTCTCCAAGAGGACCAAGTGTCTGTGGGTTGCTGAGGACCCCAGCATAAGAACAGTCAGAACAGAGAGGGGAATAAAGCCCCCAGTTCCTGTTCCTTACCCCAAAGCACACAAGGCTGCTGGTGGCTGATGGGCTGATGCTGTTCTCCCCTTCCTACAGAGAGAATATTCTTGTGCTGGACATATTTTTTGAAGCACTCAACTATGAGACAATTGAGCAGAAGAAAGCCTATGAAGTGGCAGCCTTACTTGGTAAGAGGAGATCAGGGGTGCAATGTGGAGTCTGTGTGTGCCTTTGTTGGAGTCCGTGTGTGGTTCAGGGATGTACAGAGTGTGCATAGTGCATTGCCTTGAAAACCACAGCAAGGTCCAGGTACCTTCCTGATCAGTTTTCAACCCCATCTCTTCTTTTCCTTCCAACACCAAGCCATCCCAGGAATGTCCCAGGGACTACAGCTAGTCTGTGTGTCACCTATGACAGGTTAACATGAGCTGCTCCATCTCTGCTTGCTACCAGGGCCCTATCGTTTGGGGCTAAGCAGGTGATGGATGCTTGCTGTGGTGCCCCCATGCTGGAAGTGCAATGTGTGGAGGAGGAAAGCTCTTCTATCATTTACCCATCACCTCTTAGATGCTCCAAATCCATCCTCCTTTCCAGCCCTTCTGCACATGCTAAGGGTTCCCCAGGAGTGCTACAGTGAGGAAGAGGAGGCTGGTAATGAAGCCTCTTTAACACAAAGCTCCCTATTTGCATGTCTTTGCATGAGCCTTGTTCCCGGGGCACTGCAGGCTTTGGGCAGAGTCTCATCTCCCCCCAGTCCTCAGCCCCTTTCGAGCCAGCACTTTGCCCCCAAGCACCTTCTTGGGTGCTTGAGTCCTCTTTCTTGTCTCTCTATCTTGTGGATACCCACAGCAAAGGCCCCATCGCTCCTCCACCCATGGGTGCCTTTGCTCTGGGGAGCATCACAGTCAAACCACGGGTGTTCTGCAGCAGAATCCATGAGATTTATCCTCCCTAAGCACAGCATCTCATGTCAGCAGTTCCCTTCCCAGGAGATTCCTGGAAGTCTCCTCTCCCCATGGTGCCTCCTTCACAGCCCTTCCCTCGCCCTGGGGCACTGCAGCAGAGGCAGCTTTGCCATGCTCCCCTACAAAGCATCACATCTCCCTTAACTCTCTTTGGCAGGTTTGGGTTTTTTCTCCGCTCCCTGGGACGTTACCTGATTCTGCTCCAGCATCTTTTTCCTTCCCCCACCCAGTCTGGGAATTGGGCTTTGAGATGCAGCCTGCTGTCTTGCTCTCACAGATGGCTTCCTCAGGTGCCACTGTGCGTCATCACACCCCCATTAGGCTTCCAGCTGATGGCCTCATTAGCAGAAAACCTCCTTCGGTGGCAGGCAGCATCCTTCCCGGGATGCTTGGAAGTGTTTCTGGGGTCATTTCCCCACTCTTTGGGGACAGCAGCTCCCAGGGCAGCTGCACTGTGGTTGCATGGATGCCCTGAAGATCTTCCACCCCAGCAGTAAAACCCATCCCCATGTTGTTCTCTCTCCTAGGTGACATTGGAGGCCAGATGGGGCTCTTTATCGGTGCTAGCATCCTCACTATACTAGAGCTCTTTGATTATATATATGAGGTAAGACCTTCCTTATTCCTCTGGCAGGGTGTGGGTTTGCCAGCCTTGACACCAGGCTGGGGTGGTCATGGACCAGGACTCTCCATGCCCTATGTGTGATTATTAAGTTTAATTAATGATACTATATAATTAATGCTCTACAATAGTGCTGTATAGTCAGTCATGACTTATGTAAGGTGATGGGGAGATCCCTGCCTCAGGAGGGGCTCTCCATGGAGAGGCTGGCATGCAGCCATGGTTCACGTGGACCCTGCCTCTGCTGATGAGATTTGCTTCTTGCCTGGGCTAAGGAGCATCACCTTCATGTGGTTGTGCTGCTCCCCCCCCCAAAGCTTGTACTGCCTGGGGTGCTGGCTGGGACCTGCTGCTGCACCCCTCTGACCCCATTCCCAATGGGACTTCTCCCAGCAGCATGTTATCATCTTCTCCTTAACACACCTTTAATCGATGCTCGAGTCCCAGTCCAGCCATCAGGCAGGAGGAGCAGCAAGTCCAGACCTTGTACCACTGTCAGGGGGTGAGGAATCCCAGTCCCTGATATCTGATGTCTGCAGCTCTGGAGCAAAGAGCTTTCTAGGAAGCACCAAGAGGAGCTCAGGCGTGGCCATGTGGCTCCATAGTGGCTGAGAGCATCTGCTCCAGAGGGAAGTGCAACCCTCCAATTCCCATTAATGGGAATTAATGCAATAAGCACTCCAGAGGGGATGTTGCTTTCCAGCAGCATCTCTCCTCCTGCCCCCCAGCAGCAGTTATGACCCTTGTGTATTTTGAATGTCTTTTTGCCTAAGCAGGTCCCCCAGCACAGCTTAGCATCTCCCAGGATTTTGGCTTTCCTATGCCAAGTGCCAGCCCAGACCTCAGTGGTGCCATGCTGTCACAGCCCCCCTGTGGGCATCACCCCTCCAGCATCCTCTGCCACTGCCCCTGCAAGCACAGACACAGATTCCAGCTGCTCTCTGCACCCTCCTGCCGTTTGGACTCATTTCTTCACCTAAATGGGGCCCAGTCCAAAGTAACCCTTTCTGGAGCATCCTCCCCACTGATTTCCCTTCCCGGTCTTCATTGCAGATGGCTTCATGTTGGTCAGGCTCATGACTCATTGCAGATGGCTTCATGTTGGGGGTCAGGCTCATGACTCTGTTTATGAAAGGGGAAACTGAGGCAGGGAGAAGGCCTGCAGCTGGGTGTGAGCTGCTGAGGAGCACCTGGTTTGCACCGAGGTGACCCCAGGGATCCAAACACAGATGCCTGGGTCCTGTTTTGTAGCAGGGAAGAATGAATTTATGGCTTGGGGTGGTTTCAAAGAGGATGCAAACACCGATGGAGACAGGTCATTCCCAGCAAATTTGGCTCATCCCAGCCCAAGGCCTTTTCCCTTGTCCCTGGGAAAGGGCCTTCTGCTAATTCAGGCTCTTTGCCCTCATTGTGAGTTAACCCTAACCCTAATCCTAATGGCTTTGCACCCCTGCACCCATATGCTCAACATCTCAGACCTGCATAGCCCTTTCTCAGCCCCATATTGCAATGGGACCAGGACCCCATGGGATGTTGCAGTCAGGGGTCGTTGGTGGCTATTGCATCCAGGCCAGATGGGTGCACAAGGACATCAGGCACTCACAGTCCCTGCTCCAAGCTTCGTGTTATTAAAGGTGGGATGCTGGCTTTTTGTTTTAAGCCCATCACAGTTCAAGTCCCCGTCACAACCCCCCTCTGGGCAGCTCTTAGCACTTGGTGGCATTATTCTGCAATAAAATATATTGGAAATTACGAGCATAAAGCTCATAATGGCTTTGGAGAGCAAACAAAACCTGTGCCTGGGTTTAGAGATCAGCCTGAATGCACACAGTGTTTCATTAAAGTCACCTATTCCTGCCTTTCTCGGGGTTCTTTCATAAGAAGATAGTAAGACACCTCGCAAAGCCTGGATTTTTCTTCCCTGTTTTACTCCCTTGTTTGACATCTGCTTATAAAACTTGGCAAACAGTTTCCTGTTGGTGTTTTTCTTCTCTTCTTTTGGGGCAAAAATGGCTTAGGAGAGGAGCCTGAACCCTTGGAGAGGCTCCCTGTGCACACCTGAGGATGCACCAACAGAATCACCCAGCTATGTCCTACGTGGGGCATCATCATGGTCACCCATATTTAACCCACACCAGACAGGGATAAAATGTCTTAAATGATGCATAATCCACATGGTTGAACTAATCTGCTCAGGGTTACATCAAGGCATGGCTCCGTGCACCTCAAACTCATTGAGTTTTCAAGCAAAGCCTTTTGTACACCCTGAGATGGTCAGCAAAGGGACATCCTTTTCATGTGCCTTAGCCAAAAGCAGATGCAATATTGACCTTTGAGATGTTGGTTTGCATTGTTCACTCACCTCAGTCCTCCTCTTGGTTCTGCCCCACGGCAGAGTGGTGCTCCTGGGCTTATTGGGGTCCCAGATCCCCACCACGCATCTCTGCATCTCATGCACCCAGCCCCCACCTCACTTCCCTGGGAACTGACCCCATTTTTCACATTTTTAGCTTTCTTCTTTCTTTTCTTCTTTTCCTCCAGTGGCAGTTTTTCAGGAAAACACTCACTTTTCAACCTTTCTGGGATTTCCCTTGGAAATACATTCTTCAGCCGCAGTTGCCAGGGAAATAACGTGGCTGTGAAGGGAAACAGCACTCCCAGAGCTGACGTTTCTCAATAGACTCCTAAATACGTTTAAAAAACTAGAGGTTTGGGTTGGTTTTTTTCCATGTGAGGAATTCCAGTTTGACCCAGGGGGTGTTTTTCTTGGAAAGATTGTCTCCTTCTCCATACCCTTGGGGGGGTTCAGAGGGTTGCCATCAGCGGAGTAGTTGGAGGCATTCCAGTGGCATTCCCCAGGGATCAATACTGGGTCCAGTCTTATTCAACTTGTTTTTCAACAACCTGGATGAAGGGCTGGAGTGGTCCCACAGCAAGTTTGTGATGATACAAAGCTGGGGGCAGTGGCTGATACAGGTCTACGAGGATGCCGGCGAGGGACTCTTCATCAGGAACTGCAGTGACAGGACAAGGGGTGATGGGTTTAAACTGAAACAGGGGAAGTTCAGGTTGGAGATAAGGAGGAAGTTCTTTACTATGAGGGTGCTGAGGCACTGGCATAAGGTGCCCAAAGAAGTGGTAATGCTCCATCCCTGGCAGGGTTCAAGGCCAGGTTGGACAGAGCCTTGGGTGCCATGGTTTAGTGTGAGGCATCCCTGCCCATGGCAGGGGGTTGGAACTGGATGATCTTTGGTCCTTTGCTACCCAAACCATTCTGTGATTCTGTGATACACTTCAAGGCTGTGCTGCCATTCAGCGGGTTCTTGATAGGCTGGAGAGTTGGGCAGGGAGAAGCCTGATGAGGTTCTACAAGGACAAGTGTAGGGTCCTGCCCCTGCCAAGTACAAGCACAGGTTGGGGGTGACCTACTAGAAAGCAGTTCAGGGAGTGCTGGGGGATGAGGAGTTGATAGGAGGAACAAGAGTACCCTGGGGAGTGTGGCAGCAGCTCAAGGGAGATGATTCCTCCCCTCTACTCGACCCTGGTGAGGCCATATCTGGAGTCCTGTGTCCAGTCCTGAGCTCCTCAGGACAACTAACACGAGAGATGGTCCAGCTGGAGAGGGTCCAGCAGGGCCACAAGGATGCTCAGGGATCCGGAGCTTCTTATGAGGAGAGACTGTGGGAGCTGGGCCTGTTTAGCCTAAAGAAGAGCAGACAGAGGGGATCCCATCAGTGCAAATCAGTGTCTCAAAGGAGGTACCAGGACGATGGTGCCAGGCTCTTTCCAGTGGTGCCCAGCAACAGGACAAGGAGCAGTGGCCATGAACTAAACCACGGCAAGTTTCACCTCAACATGAGGAAGATCTTTCCATTGAGGGTGGGAGAGCCCTGGCACAGGCTGCCCAGAGGGGTTGTGGAGTCTCCCTCTCTGGAGACACTGAGACCCACCATGGACACATTCCTGTGTGACCTGCTCCGGGTGGCCCTGCCTTGGCAGGGGTTAGACTGGATGATCTCCAGAGGTCCCTTCAACCCTAATGGTCCTGTGAAACCCAGTACATCCCCTGGGCCCTTTGGGTGAGGCCGGTGGATGCCCATGCAGGCAGTCTTTGGATGTCTCACCTGTTCCTCCTCCCTCTTTTGCAGCTGATCAAGGAGAAATTATTAGACCTACTTGGAAAAGAAGAAGAGGAAGGGAGCCATGATGAAAACGTGGTAAGGAGCCCCATTGGGAGACAAGAGGCAGAAGCCATTCGATACGGATGCGGTGTTCGGCCACTGATTGAGTTATTCCCAAAGGATTGATGCCATGGCTCGGCTACGGAAAGGAGAGAGCGGTTGGGGAGGGACAGGGAGCATGCGGAGGCTCTGGGATAACCCTGTCCCCCGCTCTCCATCCGCAGAGCACTTGTGACCCCATGCCAAACCATTCGGAATCCATCAGCCACACTGTGACCGTGCCGCTGCAGGCCACCCTGGGAACGCTGGAGGAGATTGCCTGCTGACACCACCCGACCGCTCCACAGTGCCAACACCTAAGGAAGGGAAAACTGCACAGGGAAGCAGGGACCGAGCTCAGGTTTGCCACGGGGGAAAAAAAACACTAAAAAGATAATGACAAAAATAGAGTAAAAAATTAAAAAAAAAAAAGGAAGAAAATCGCTATGCATTAAACCAATAAATATATATATTATATATATACACTCTGCCAAAACCAAGCGAGAGGCGCCTTGGACTTGACTTGTGTTGTCCTTTCCTGTGGGGGGGTTGTCTTCAGGATGTGAAGGCAGCAGCTCGTTTTCGAACTGTACAAAACAAAGAGAGCACCACCAACCCCAGCCCCGCCATGTCACAAACTGCCACGTGCAGAAAGCACTTGCATGCCAGTTCTTTTTACGGCACTATATTCCTATCTGTCTTTATAAGCTCTGTTCCTCTTTACAGTCTCTGATTTTCACTACAAGAAGGAACTCGCGGGCCCAGCCATCCCCTGAAATCACCATTACTAACGTCGTAGGCTGAATTAGAATAAAGAAACAAAAAGTCGCAGCTCTCGGATTCTTCTTACGTTCTTGTCCTTCGTGTCAGTCTGTGATGAATCTTAAGCTAAGCCGGGTCCCCCCGAGGCCGGGCCACCTCAACGCTACCAGTCACCCCAAGGTGAGCATCCCTGGAGAGGGGACGGACCGGGTGGCTCTTGGTGGATCGTCCCCCCCGGCTGCTGGGTCGTGCTCCTCCATCTGCAGTGCCTGGATTAGTCCGTGCGCGGAGGGTGGGCACGGGGGGAGGTTGGGGGGGGGGGAGCGGTCTTTCTTTCTTTCTTTTTCTCTTTCTTTTCTTTATTTCTTTTTAATTTTTCATTTTTTTTTGAGATTTTGTTTTCATTTTTTATGTTGGATTTTGTGCTTTCTCCTCGTTCTCATGACTGATATTAAAGCTGGTCTTGTGGAAATGGCCGGGCTGTGTCGTTCCTGCCTTGCCCCCCCACGAGCCCTTGCCTTGCCCCCCTCAAAACCCACCCCAAGCTGGAGTCCCCAGTGCAGCCTCAGCACAGGGTGAGGGGCAGACATGAGGACAAGACACCCTTCACCCCACTTTATCCCTTCCACCACATCTTCATACACATCCCAATGGGGTGGGCATGATGCTGTGCTCAGCCTCTGGTGCTCACCTGTATCCCTATCTGCTCTGTGATGAGGGTCCAGCTCTGATGTTGTGCATTGAGGTCATCTCTTGGAGCCTCATTTGTTAGCAACCAGGAGTTTAAATAGAACTGGGTCAAAATGATGCTGCTTTACCCCAGTAAGGAGGGAAGGCAAGTGTCCTGCAGCTCCAAACCCTGCTGGTCCTGTAGATCCTGTAGGGATGGGAGGAGGATATGATGAGGGGAGTTGTTTGTATCTCTGGTAGCTCATGGCTGGGGGTTGCTGAATAGCCAATGACCTCCACCAGCGCGGCATCCACAGCAGGGAGAAACACAGCTGGACTCTGCAAAGCTGTTCTGGGAGAGCTGATGGAGTCCCCCAGGCTTTGGAAGGGCATTAACCCAAATCACGTCCCCCCCCATCACATGCCACCAAACCTAAGCCCAGCAACAGAGCCTTGGAGCAATGCTCCCACATCTGCCACTGCAGCTGCCCAAGATGACCTGTGTAAGCAGCACATTGGCAGGGCAGCCACAGCAATGGGCTCTTTCCACGTGTCCTTCCATTCCAAGCTCAGACTCCCAAGCACTGCCCATGGTTTTCCCAAGCCCATAGGACATGACTCTTGGCTTTTCCTCCAGCAGCTGGGTTGGGGTCTTCTCTGGCTGCTGGAGAGTTGGTCCCTTAAGGAACAGTAAAGCTCAGGATTGAGCACATCCCAGAATCCTTCACCAAGCAGGGAGGCAGAGAGAGTCCTTTAAGACATCCCGGAGCAGCAGACGGGTTCCAACCCGATCCTCTCCAGGCTGGTGGAGAAGTGCTTAGAGGATGTGTGCTCAGGTGTGTGCCCTTTGAAGGGTTAAGAGTGACAGCGACTCCAAGATTCAATTCCATGCATATAAATTTCTCCAATTGGTAGTTTATTAAATCTCCATTAAAAGATTTTGGTAGAGTCATTAGAAAAGTGGATGAGGTTGGACTCCACGGAGATGCCCAGAGGTACCGTGAAGAGCTTTGCTAATACCACCTATGGAGGAAAGCCACTTAGGGCAGGGAGGGCAGGGCTTGGCATGAGGATGGCATTGCTGATTGCTCCTGAAGAGCACATCTCCAAATGCCTTGCTGAAGAGCTCATTTTGTGTTGTCAGGTTGGATTATCTCCTGAGACCTGGATGCTGGCCATATGTTCATTATCCATGGGATGCCGAGGAGCTCATCGGCAGCCTGGCTGCAGAGCTATGGAGCTGCCAAGCTCTGTCTCCCTTTGCCAAACCCCTGGTCCCTGTAGTCCCTTTTGGACCAGCTGAGGGAATTGGTGCCAGGCCTGGCTCAAGGTGATGCACTGCAACATCTGCAGGCTCTTGGCCATGCCCATGACACTGGTTGAACCAGCCAGCTCCTCATGCAGACTGGTCCTTCTATCCCTTACACTCATTAGTGGCTGGAAGGGAGCTGGCCTTTTATTCATGGTGGACTTCTGTACTGTATTTGTGCTTGAAGGAGCGGGAGTGTCTCCACCTTTGGGTGAACTTGGGACTTTACAAGATCCAGCTCCCAAACACAAAACCAGCTCAATGACAAAGCGTGGCCATCAGGAGAGGATAGGGAATGGGCAGTGAGGTGCTGCTGACAGTGCCCATCCCTAGCAGATAATCTGGTACCATTTGACAGCTAACAGTGGAGGAGATACTACCAAACTGGGCAGATTTGGAAAGCTCAGATCCTGGCCTACTTGCCTAATGTCATGGGACAGACCTTTATTAAAGGAGGTATTTGAATACTGAGCCTGTGTATCAACCCAGAACAGCCCCATAGGCACCTTTGGGATCACCACCAAACTGCGTCACAACACGCTGGGACAGCAGCAGTGTAAGGGGTAGGTTGAGGGACAGAAACTGCCCCACACTGAGAGCGAGCAACCCACAAACCAGCCTCTCTGAGGCTTGCAGAGCTCTTGGCTGCCTTGTGTCCTTTTGCCCTGTGAATCCAACATACCACAACCCCATGATGGAGATGCCATCCCACATCCAGAGCTGGGGGCTGCCCTGCCTTCAGGAGGCTGCTGTGACTGCAAACACACAGCTCTGGCTCGGTGCTAATGTAGTGCTCTGCAGCACCAGCTGCTTGAGCGGGAGGCCAGCAGAAGGTGGAAGAAGATGAACCTCAGCCATGATGTCTTCCATCCCTCTGTGTAAGGTGGGTCACACTGGGGCACTCGCAGTGAGTTTGGCAGCTTCAACACTGGTGGATTTATGCTTGCCCAGAAGGTCTCCCCCATTCAGCCTGGAGAAGAGAAGCTGCATGGAGACCTCACAGCAGCTTCCAGTGTCTGAAGGGGGCTATAAGGATCCTGGAGAGGGACTTTCATTAGGGACTGTAGTGATAGGACAAGGGGTGATGGGTTCAAACTGAAATGGGAAGTTCAGGTTAGATCTAAGGCAGAAGCTTTTCCCTGTGAGGGTGCTGAGGTGCTGGCACAGGGTGCCCAGAGAAGCTGTGGCTGCCCCATCCCTGGCAGTGTTCAAGGCCAGGTTGGACACAGGGGCTTGGAGCAAGCTGCTCCAGTGGAAGGGGTCCCTGCCCGTGGCAGGGGTTGGAGCTGGGTGAGCTTTAAGGTCCCTTCCAGCACAAACCAGGCTGGGATTCTATGACTCTGTTATTCCCAACTCCTGCCATGGGATCTGCCCCTGAGCTGGGGTTTCTCCAGCAGTGATGCTGATGGGCCACTGCCCATTTTGTATAAGCCCACAGCTTGAAGGCCCCTGATGCTGAACCCATGGAAGCAGCACTGATTGGAAACACCTCAGCTCTCAGCCTCTCAGCACAGGACCTGATTTGAGAACCCTCTTCCCTCTGGCTGCCTGCCTTCCTCTGCCTGAAGAACCTGTATATGGGGAACAGAGGATATGGGTGGTGGGAGAAAAGGGGTGGAGGTATCAGAACACATGGTCAGTGCAATACTCCCCAGATTTAAAAGCCTCACATTGCCCTAAGGCAGGACATATCCCTGTGGGCCACAGTTACCCCACTGCCACCCTCCCTCCCATGCAATGTGAAGACCAGTTCTGGAAGCGGCTCTGGGGAGGGATGCTGGTGCATCACAAAGGCTTCATCCGAGAGCTGCAAGGGTGGCCGTGGGGCTTGGCAAGCTGCCTGCAGCAAGGTGGAAGTTCAATTCATTCGGTTTTACAAAGGGAAGGTGAAGAGGTGCTCCAGCAGCCCATAAATTTCTCAGCGGAGAGATTTCTAAGAAAGGGCTCTTCAATCTGCCAGACAAATGGGGAGGACGGGGAGGAGCTAAATGCATCCGAATGAAAGAGCCTCTCTGGGACCATGGAGGTTCTCTCAGCTCCTACATCTTTAAATCAAGATATCCAAGAGATGTGCTCCCAGAGCAGATCCCCATCTCTGCAGCACTCTCTGGGATGGCTTATGGGGAAGACATTGCCAATGGTAGTAAAGGTCTCAGAAGTGAAGACCTCAAAACTTTCCTTTTCTGTTTGTTGGTGTCTGAGTTCAGCTGAACCCTCAGCAAGCTGGACTTGTACCCAGTTCTCCCACTGTTAGACATCCATAAGCCTGTGTCTTCCCAAGGAATTCACGACAAGAGCTTGGACAGGGGAGACTGAGATGAGCTCTCAGGCAGAAGCTCTTCCCTGTGAGGGTGCTGAGGCGCTGGCACAGGGTGCCCAGAGAAGCTGTGGCTGCCCCATCCCTGGCAGTGCTCAAGGACAGGTTGGACACAGGGGCTTGGAGCAAGCTGCTCTAGTGGAAGGGGTCCCTGTCTGTGGAACTGGATGAGCTTCAAGCTCCTTTCCAACCAAAACCAGTCTGGGGCTCTATGATATGAGAGGTCTTTGCACCAGAGTCATTCCTCCACTGCTGGTTGTTTCTCGGTTTGATGTCTTTGACAGTCAGCCTCAGAGCTGTGGTATAAAGCAAAGGCCGTATTTCAATCACTCATCACACTGTGTGACCTCCAAGACCCGCAGGGAACAACCACCACTGGGTACAAAGTGTTGCTCTGTTGAGGATCGAGCATGTCAGTTGATGAGAGGCAACGCACGTCGTGTCGACTCTGCCTGTCTTATCCATCAGCTGCAAAGCCAAATTCATACTGGAATAAAGGGAACATTAAACCACATCCTGGGAGCGGCCAAAGATACGTCTGCCAGCTCTCTGCACTAGCACAGGCACTAATAAAGAGCTCAGCTTTATGGGGCTGTTGTGTTCAATGGCATCTCAACAGCAGCAGGGAGGAAGGCAGCACGAGGTGATGCTGGGCTGAGCCTGAAGGCAGGTGCTGCTGCAGGAGCCCACATGGAATGGGATGCACGTCAACCAACAGCTCTCATCTTGGCTGTAGAACAGGGTTTGAAGCTGCTCTCCCCATTCTCCTATCTT